TGGATCCTGAAGCTAAGTAATCTTGTACACACACACTGAGGGGAAGAAATTTGGTGAGTTAGAGTTTTTATGTTTTTGATCATATCGTACAAGATTTTTTTCAAATTGTTATGGAAGATAAATTAAAAATATAAACCCTAATTAGGGCATCCTATTAAGAATATATAATTAACTAATTGTACTGGACGATCCAGATTGTCTAGAACGATCAGTTATATATATGAAATTCAGTCGCCAATCATATTTTAGGCATATTTTTGAAAATTGCAACTTTTTGGCTAATCATCCCTGATGATCAACATCATCCTGGACGATCCAAGACAATCATGCCTAAATTGATCTGATAATTAGGAGAGTAATTATAGTTAAATTGTTTAATCAAATCATATAGGATGATCCATCTGGATCGTACTGGACGATTTAGTTGGTAAACCGTAATAACTTTACTCTAATTGTCCAAGAAGATCGTCCTGAGACATTTTCGGGATGATATGGAGATCGCCACCCATCATTTAATGTTGTACTGGATGATCAATATGGAATTTTTAACTAATCATCCTGGATGATCGCAAGACCGTACAGGATGATCTGTATAAATACTCGTACTAATCGTACAAAGAAAAGGTGATCGCCCTGGTTGATAGGGTTGTTTTGTACTAATCATACATTACGATCTGTTGATCGTCCTAGATGATCAGTTACACATAATTAAAATTTAGGGCTTTTTTTGGAGTTCTTCTATTTAATCTTAAGTATTTATCCATTGACAATATCTTTTGCTGAAGTTCTAACCTAAGAGAGCTTAGAGAAGGAGAAGGTGAGTTTGGGAGAGAGAGGGAGAATCTTGTGAGGAGGAGTTTGTGAGGGGAATCACAAAGGTTGCTCTAAGCAAGGATTCGTTTTTCTTCTTTAAGCTTAACACTGTCAGTCCTCACTCTCCTATCCCGTCCAGCTCACCGGTCTGTGAAATTCATCAACTCGTCCCTACTACCATTCAGCAACATCCTATGCTCACCAGACTTCGCTCGGGCATCTCAAAACCCAAGCCCATATTTGACCTCTTGGTGGTTCCATCCTCTTCTCATACACCGACGTCTTATTCTCAGACTTCCAAATCAGAAAATTAGCGTGCTGCCATATCAGCAGAATTCCTCGCATTACAACAAAATGGGACCTGGTCTCTGGTTTCACCTCTGCCAGGTAAATCGATACTGGGTTGTAAATGGATGTTTAAAACTAAACTTCATCCAAATGGGCAGGTCGATAGATTCAAAGCCAGACTTGTCGCACAAGGATGCTCTCAAGAATTCGGTGTCAACTACACCAAATTATTTAGTCCAGTTGCAAAAATGGTCACAATTCGCATTTTACTAACGGTAGCACTTCATCATCAATGGCCTGTAACTTAGACGTCTCCAACGCATTCTTCATGGTGAAATCACCAATAAAGTCTACATGAAAAAATCGATCGGCTTTGTCGACTCGCATCATCCACAACACATTTGCAAATTACACAAATCCATTTACGGCTTCAAACAGTCGCTGCGTCAATGGTTTCAGAAATTCATTACCTATCTTCAATCACTCGGTTTCAATTTTAGCAAAGAAGATCCATCTCTTCTTATCTTTCATCAAAATAATATTCATTTGTTCGTTCTCATTTATGTTGACGATATTCTTGTTACAGGTAACGACGTCATCCAAATTCAAAGAATCCTTCACAAACTCCAATCTGAATTCCGACTGAAACAGCTGTGTGAAGTTTCACTATTCCTCGGTATTCAGGTGATTAAAACAAACACTAGCTATTTTCTTCACCAAGATCACTATGCTCGTGACCTACTTACGCTTGCAGGTTTCACTGATTGCAAACCGTCTGAAACACCTATCAGGATGAAACCACGCAAACAACTCGATGAACAACCCTACTCCGATCCTACCCACTTCTGGAAACTAGCCGGATCATTACAATATCTTTCAATTACTCGACTAGACATAGCCTTTGCAAAAAATCACATTTTCCAGCACATGCACAAACTGAGAAACCAGGACTATCAAGATCTAAAACGACTGCTATGATACATCAAAGGCACTCTAAGCTTCGGTCTCCCAATCACATCCGGCAACCTTAACCTTCACGCGTACACGGACACCGATTGGGCGTCTGACCCATCAGATCGGAAGTCAGTTTTTGGGTTCTGCATTTTTCTTAGCTCAAGTCTGATCTCATGGTCGGTCAAGAAACAGGTAATCGTTTGTAAATCCTCCACCAAAGCGGAATACCGCTCTCTATCTTCAGCTACCTCGGACATCCTATGGCTTTGTCGTCTTCTCGAAGATTTCCAGATACCGCAATGCAGTTCAACACCAATATATTGTGATAACACCTCGGCAATTGCAATCGCTCACAATCCTGTTTTTCATGCTCGGACCAAGCACATCAAAATCGATTACCATTTTATCAGTAATCACATCAAGAACGACGCAATTACAATCAACAACATTAGCTCCACGGATCAGATCACTGATATTCTCACAAAGCCTCTACCTCCCACTTGGTTCGACACACTCAAATCCAAATTAACCATTCGCTCCTTAACTGGTTAATTTGAGGGGGGCTGTTAGAACAGCTGTACACGTTAGCTTTAGTTAGTTTTACGTTTTCTTGTATTTGTAGTTAAGTCCGTATCTATATATACGGGCCCTTATGTACTGTGCTAAGATATAGAATCAAATACTTTATTTTCTTTTCTATTCTCTGTTCCCGTCTCTATCTCCTTCGTTCCAATCTTGCCTTCAAGCAAGATTCTCTCTCTCATTCTAGCTCCTCTTCTCTTGCCCTCACGCAATAACTCTGTTAGTTGATGTCATATTTAAAAGAATATATTTGAGTAATTAAAGAACAGACACAATAATTTTAATTATGATGATATATTGGTGATATGAAGCTAATAAAATTAGTTGCATAAATCAATTAAATTTTTATGAGAAATATTTTAATCTAACAAAATACAATGCCCTAATATACCTATTAAAATATATTTTCAAGCTATTTTAGCCTTTAAAATTTCTTATAAATATTTGACTAAGAACCAGAGATACAATCCCTTAAATTTTTATGAGATGTATTTGGATCTATAACCTTAAAATATTTTTCTAAATTATTTGTAAGGCCTATTTACATAACGTAGAAAATATTGCACTCTAATTTAATAATTTATTACTATTCTTCAATATTTCTATTTAAAAAAAATCTGAGAAATAAGAAAACAAAAATGACTGGCTGTCGCTCCTATCATACAAATTGATTCAAAGCATAAATCATACAAAACCTTATCCAACTTAAGGGTTACAGGTATAAATAATAGATTTTCAAGGGAGAAATTCGCTTAAGAAGAAATTCAAGCAAGGTGGCTCCGCCAAAACATATATAGCCGTACAAGACGTCTTCCCAAATCCTAATTCCGATTCCATTCGAGAAACCTTACAGCTCCGATCAGTCCACCATTCTCCTTCCTCGCAAGAATGTTCAGGAACAAGATCTTGGTACGAGCCTACCTCCCGTCCCCATCGTTCCATCATTTTCTCCTCGTCCAACTCTCTCTCTCCGATTCTTCCTCCCCGATCGAGATCGAAGCCCTTTGCTGGAAGCTCTCACGGCGGTGGCGCCTGGCCTGCTTGCATCCATCGCCGTCCTCCATCTTCATTAGCTACCAGGTGAATCATCATCGGATCCTTTCTCGATCTCCTTCTACGTACTATTAACTTCTCCTCCGTATCCCGATTGCAGAGAAGTCAGACTGAAGCGGCAGCCCGGGTCGTAGAGGAACTAACCAAAACCCTAGCCGTTTGCAATGTGAGTTTCAATGTCTTTTCTATGGTTATAATTTAGGGTTCCATGATGAATGTTGTTGGTTTACGAAGTGAATGAATATATTTTCGAGCTTATTGTTGGTGGTCTTTTACAAGGTGGAGGAGGAAGTGGAGGTTGTGAGATCCGCAATTCTGATTGCTAGTGTAGTTGAATGTTGGTTAAGATCATTAATGCTGGAGAAGAACTGGGGATGCATTGGAGACAGTACATTTGTGAACTCTACTTTTGCCAGTGATGAGGAGAAAAAATATTTTCAAGCGCTTAATGTGGTACCATACATATGTGATAATTTTATAAAATGTCATTGTTCCGCCAGTGTAATGTTTAACTGTAGCACTTGTGATGCTTTGTTAAGTTTCTTATTGATTTACATGCTAAACTATGCAGAAATTTTCAGCTGTCAAGCTAGTTTTCTTTGAATGTACCGCATTAGTCCTCATATAGATGTGCGTATACTTCTACTATGTTAAAACAAGAAGCTATTCTAACATCAACTAAGACAAAATGATTTGTTGTTGTGAAAGTACCTGCTTGGAATGAATTTGATGAACAGAAAAAATAAATTGCAAAGAGGTAAAGCACCAATCAAGACACTAAAATTACATGGATCAACAATAGCCAAATAAATCCACAGCCAGGAGAGGAATGTAATAGATCCACTACAAGAAGTCATAAAATTGTACAAATGAATAAGGTTGAGTAAACATTTTCTCCCAAAATACACATACATTCAATCTCCCCATAAAGAAATGACTTAAATCTCTTTAGAAAAATTAGTAGGAAGAATTTGTAAAATCTTGTATAATAGAATAATCACATAGAAAGGTAATAAATAAAGTTACCAAGAAAATCTCTAGTTGGATGTTACTTAAAAATGATACCTGTCACGACCCAGCCTGAATATTCGAATTAACAAGGTGGAAATGAACAGTCGGACATTAAATACATTTTTCATAATTATGCGACATCAATGACTAATATTCCTCAAAACACTAAAGTGTTACTAATACTACATGTACATTTAATATGCATTTAAACATAAACACATTTTACCTCCTTTCATTTGAACTTCGTCTTGTGTAGACATATTCATCTTCTCCTTCAACTATTTCTATTTGTTAGAAGACTTACCTAAAAGTTAATTTAATAGAGTGAGTTTACTAAGTAACCTCAGTGAATAGTTATCATTACTAAAATAACCTTCAAACATATATAAGATTAGTGGTGTCAATTTTTGAGACGACTCGAAACCCTCATACGCGCTTTTCTCTAGCGTGGTGGGATGAGAATCCGATGCGGCGCCTACAGCGAGACCGGGATATTCATAAGTACTCGCTCGCGGGGAAAAATTGCTTCTCTTTTGCAACAGGTACCGAAGACCCATACAGGCCTTTCTCTAGGGTGGTGGGGACAAAGATTTCATGGCCGCGGTGTCCTCGTATGAGGGAACTTACCGTACACATTTTTCTCTAGCGTGGCGGGAGGCTCAGTTTTCCGTAGTTTTCCCCTAAACAGGGGAGACGCTGTGAGACTGCCGAAATTTCGGGTGAATATGCTACTACATTTGGGCCTGATTTGAACAAAAAAAAGAATAAACTCGGACTCAATTGAACACAAATTTGAACTCAAATGACAATGAACTTGGTATAAGAAGTTTAAATTTGGACTTGAACAATTCAGACTCAAATTCAAATGAGTTAAGTGTGGTGGACATTAAACCTGAACAAGACTCGGACAGCAGGGGACTACTGGAACTCGAATGAGTTGAATAATGGACTTGCTTGAACCTAAAGATCAGTTTGGGACTTGTGGACTTGATTCAATTGACATTAATAAAATTCAAATCTAAATAAATATGAGCTCTAAATGAACTTGAATATTAAGAGAAAAGATAACTGGTAATGATCTAACTTGTACTCAAGTGAAATAAATACAAGCTTGATTTGGACTTGAATGTGATATGAACCATAATGACATTGAGTTCAAACTTGGATTAAAGTTTGAACTTGACAAATAACTCGAACTTGAATCATATGCAAAATGATGAACTTCTAATTTGAGTGTAAGAGTTCCCAATATGACATGCTTTCAATCAATGAGACAAAGTCTTCAATCCATTTCAAGGCATTATTATGTCAACCAAAATACAAATGCTAATGGGCAAACAAAAGACTTGTCTAATACAAAGAACGATAAGTGCATCATTTATGAGCAAGAGTAGCGGGCATGTCAATAGCAACTACCAATAATGATCAATGGTGAATGAATTTCCTATATCTCATTCAAAAGCAACAAACAAAATGATATATCCACGAGTGCTGCAGTGATATGATCATAGGTAAAGTCTAAAGGTTTGATATCTCTACAAAGTATGAGAATATAAGAGTTAATGACAATCATGATTGTTCAAGCGAAGATCGATTGAAGGATTTATGACTCACTCATAAGCAACAAATGAGTTTTATAAACAATGAAAGGAAGCATACAATGAACATAGTAGGTTCTTGACAAATGTATGTGAGAAAATTAACAACGATTGCAGTCTTTCTGACAGTCAAAGATAAGCTACAAATACACACATCACTCTCTAATAGATTATTGAGATCTCCGTGCAACGAGTTCAAGGAATCATCTGCAAATACAGAGGGGGAAAGTATAGTGAATACAAATTACCCAGGGATCTACCATGAAAGCAGATATATCTATCTCCATCAAGAAGGAGAATCAGATATGTAACAAACACAACTTTATTGCAAACAAAGATCAAACTGAAAGAATAACAAGTGCTTGCAATCAATCGATAACATAAGAGTTCTTAATAAATCTTGGAGATCTTTAAGCTAATCAAAATTTGAAGAGTATCAAAGGCATTTAACAGATGAAACCACTGTTGTACAACACTCTTGCAATCAATATCAAGATACAAATAAGCATATTAATCCGCTTGCAATCAATAACATGAGGCTTTCATCCAATACTAAGAAATTATCAGACTCACAAAGAAATGTTATCACCTGCATACAAAGTAAAATAGCAAATCCTTGATGAATTTGAACTCCTAATCACTGTAGGAAGCATCTTCTATGAAGTATGGT